GGGCAGGCCCGGCCTCTCGCCCCCTCCGTGCAGAATTCCTCATTAAAAATTGCGCGGACAGCAACCGAGCTCTCGAATTTGATCGAAACCCCTGAATTTCTGAGGATCACCGGAGCCAGCGGGCCCTCCCGAGCCTAGCCCTCTCCCTTCCGCGCTTGGTGCCCCGCCACCGCTCTTTTTGTGGCGATTTCCCCCGGTTTTAGCGGAGGCCTGTCTCCCAGCAGGCCCGGAGCGGGCGCCGCAGCAGCCCAGCCTTCGGCAGAAATGCAAATAAGGCCCAGCAGTCAGATACCCTTTTCTGCTTTAATAAAGGAGTACGTTAAACTGGGAAGATGTTTTCTGTGTGCTGGGTCGGTTTTTATCCAAGGTGAATATGATGGAAATGAACTTTCTGCCCTTAACTCTTGTTCTTGAGCTGTTTTCACCCGTAGTGAGTTTAATGGCCCATGCACAGTCCAGCATCACCAGCTACTTAATTGCAAATAAACAAATTTTTAACCGCAAGGCTGTACTAGCTGTAAAGCCCAAGGATTGCTGTTTGAACATGTAAACATAGCATCACCCATGACTTAAAGTTATGTTTTAGTTTAAATTTTTTTTCATATAGCTCACTTGAAGTAATATATTCCATCTAAGTACCTTAATTTTTAGCTGTTTCAGAGAATACAGTTAAAGATGCATTAAAGAAGGAGAAATTGATGATTTTCTTTAATGCCTCCCTGCCTGTCAGTTTACTTACAGTCTTTTTCTTAATTTAAAAGCATCTTGAGGTGGTTGAAGGTTGAACTGTTTATCTCAGTGTGAGGGACTGCAGGGGGGAAAGATGACTTCCTTTGGACTTTACTGTTGAAATACATGGAGTCAGCATGACTTACAAAATAATTGTGCAACTAAAACATATACTATCTTGTATTGCAGAGGTAAGGGAGAACAGACTTGGTGTTGGTAGAGTGTTAATTGAAAGCATGTTGGCTACCAAGCTGTCCCAGCCTCTCCTGAACTCTCTGAAAGCCCTGAATTTCAAGGACCCACGGAATGGCTTCAGGTAAGTAGTCTGGTGGAGAAGGATTGAGATCTTGAATGCAGCACACATCGAGGGCTCGTTTGATCTCAATGGGACGGTTTATTTACAGAATCACAAGATGGTTGAGATTGGAAGGGACCTGTGGAGGTCATCTGATCCAACCCCCCTGCTAGAGCTGTGTCCAGGACCGTGTCCAGATGGCTTTTGAATACCTCTTAGGATGGAGACTCCACAAGCTGCCTGGGCAGCCTGTGCCAGTGCTCAGACATTGAGCTGAGCATGGAGGAAATGGACTCTATATGCAAGGAGGGGCTGGGAGCATGGGTTTTTTTACATTTGGGCAATCATCTACAGTCAGAAAGGGGTTGAATAGAGCATTAAATCAGAATCAAGCAAGGTTTTTTTCCCAAGTATCAGCAAATAGGCCTTGCTGCAGTGCAAGGAACTGTCATAGATGTCTGTGACTTCATTAAAGAGGCAATGAATCACATGAAATGAGAGAAAGTTGAGAAGGAGGGTTTTGGTGAGAAATGGAGGTGGGCTGAGTAACGAAGCTGTTTTTTTCTGAACGTGAACATTCTGAACATGAAATTGCTTATCTAATTCTAATTCCTAGCTCTGAAAAAAATACCTTTTATGTCGATACATCATAGGAGCCCTGCTAGCCCAAATTCAGAGCAAGTTGAGGGCTTTCACTGTCTTTGCTTTAGAGCAGGGTTCTCAAATAGTGTGTGTGTACCACTAATTGTATGTAAGTTACGTAAAAGTGGTTCATGGCCTGCTAGGTAAGAACTGCCACCTCCGATGCTGTTCTGCTGCTGTTGATAGTGACGTCCAGCACCATCAAGGATGGCTTCTGTAAGGGGGAGTTGTAGAGACCTGATAACTAAGCTGTTAGAGATTTCCTGTGCAAACAGGCATAGGCCTTTTATCTCGTTTACTCCACACTCACCAAAGCTGTACTGGCAGGAATCTGCTGTGGCCTTAAAACTACAAATTCATGTTATATTAACTTGAGAAAAGAATTTTCAGCGTATTCTTTTTTTTTTTTTAATTCTTCTGCTTTTGTTTTGTTTACTGTGTATTTATGCTTTGTGCATCTTGTACTCAGGGCAAAAATGTGTTGCGTTTTTTGAAGTACTCACAAGCTGCTAAGCCTGAAATGGAAATCCAACTGTTCATCTGAAAGGCAATATTGTCACTATACCGGTATCTTAATGCATCAAGGTAGCATTTATATACTCGACTCTTCAAACTGAGGACTGCCTTTTTTGGTGTAACAGAACAAAAAGCTAATGCATGGTTACAAGCACAGATTCAATTCGAGGACCATCTGTGTGTTTTAAAAATCTCAGTTGTGGTCTCCAGAATTCAGTCATGCAGAATGACAAAAATGGCTCATGGTACATTAGTGTGCTGTGTGTGGGCTAGCATCGCATGCGCATCGTAGCTGCTTCCTCTGATGACGTTCCTGCTGATCAGCAGCCGGCATCTATTTCATGCCCTTGCCTTCAGGTCAAGGTAGGCACAATGTCAAGTAGTTGTTCTCTACAGGATGTCGTGAATAACAGCAGCAAATCAGTGCTGTGCAGTGAAATAACAGGACCAGACATGACACTGAAAAATAAAAAGTTTATGCAACTAAAAGAAATGTTATGAACATTTCTAGGCACCCTGAGACACACCATAAAGCTTATTGTTGAGATAAAAGTTCCAAGCCAGGATTTCAGGTCAGTGATGTTAACCCAGACTTTGCCTGGGAACTGACCTTCGCAGCAATTAAATTGGCTGTTGCTATTTCAAGAGCTGATTTGGCTTGTGACACTCAAAGTTAGAAAAAGACCTAAACTGTTGCAGGAAGGTGAGTGGGCAGACACCATTGCCTAAATATAAATCAGCTCCCTTCCCATGTGGTTCAGAGCTTCTGCCCTAGCAGACCCTTTTCTAGCCTTATTTTCCCAAGAATCAGCTCAGAGGCCAGAGTGTGTGCAGTTTGCTGTTCAGTGTAGCACTGGTAACCCTGGGAGCACCTGTGATGTCTGAGCAGAAGATAATTGTGAATGATTATGCAAATTCACTGAGAAGACAGAAGAGCGGTCTAGAAGATAAGGTCTGCTGAAGGATAGATGGTAGAGGAGCCAGAGTGTAGATTGAAGTACAGCAAGTCTAGGGGAAGGCTAGAAGGCTCTGAGAGGGCAATGTCAGTGCTCAAAGCAAAAATGAAAAAGCTGATGTAGTCCAGAGAGGTGGGTGGCAAGGACAGAGGCTAAGGTCACTCTGTTCTGTTGTCTAGGCCCAGTGTTGATGAATGATGACAAGACCTAAGACAGTGTGATGTTACTGGTAGCATAGCTTTTCTGAAGAAAATCTCACTCCCTGGAAGGCAATGTTGCTTTGCTCTGGTCTGTCTTTGTGAACATGGTTTATCTTCCTGGGAGTCAGACATACTATGCAGAGGAGCTTCAGGTCTGCATGGCCTTAGCTTAGGTCTCTTAGCTTAGGCAGTTGCAAAGAGGGGATGTAAAATCAGAGTATCTAATGGGTAGACACTGGAGAGGAAGTGTGTTATCCGAGATGACAGAAGGGTGGAGCTGTGTGTAGAAGCAGTGAGATAGATCCAAGCAAATTCAACCTTAGGCTGGGTATCAGAGACAATGCCACAGCAGAATACTTCCATCAGAAAAATTAACAACTTCCCCTACCCCAGCTTTGTGCAACTGTA